TGCCGTATCGAGTCGCAAGGCCTGCTTCTTCTTACGCTTTGAACTAGAGGCCGCCAGTTTGTCCTTGGTCGACTGTACATTATCCAAGTGTTGACATAGACGAATAATTCGTCCAATGTCGTATTGGCCAATTTTGCCTACACCTTTGGTTGTACCACGTGAACAGTGTACGAACGCCAGGGTCAATGGAAACTGCATCAACAGACCCATCCGCTTGGGTTTCGCGGAGTCTCGTAAACCCAGGAAAGTTTCCATTCGCTCGTTTTGCGAATATAGGTGAACTTGCAGTCGGATGTTACGCGGTGGGGAACAGACCACTTATTGTTATGCCTTTTTTTTCGAAATGAAGAGGCCGTAAATCGCGTTTGTCGTCCGGTGTGATAACAGGCTTATGGGGGTCTGCGGAAAGCATTGATGGAGTATGGAGATAGGTGACATAAAAACGGTTCCACATGATTCTTGAAAAACTATGCGCACGAATTACTATCGTCTGTCGTAAACCCTTTCGAGAGCGAAATGATAAAGATGAATGGTGCGTGGTTGATCCGTTAATTATCCCGTCCCTAAATTATACACATATATGTTAAAAATAAATAAAATAAATAAAAAGGGAAAAAACCAACAAAGCATAACAATCATACTTAGCAGTTAATGCTTCATCAATCGTCTCATCGATAACGCTTGCAGGCGCTTTTCCATGTGTACCATTCCAACACGTACAACAGTTCGCATAAATTTGCGTTCACCCCATACGCATGATCTCTGAAGTCTCTTGTCATCACGTTCATTAACATCTTTTCCAACACGAACATCTGTGTAAAGTCTAAGCTTATCTTCAATCGGTTGAGATTTTATCCAAACCCCTAAATCCTTGGTATAGACGCGACGGTGTCGACTCCAGCAAACAACTGCATTATATACATATCTCGACAAACCTATCCACCGTTTCAGTAGCTGCTTATTGGCAACAAAAACTCAATAGCAGCAAAGAGAAAAATCTGACGAGTAATAGAAGATGAAATAAAGACTTTCATGTCTTGTTCGAAAATAGTAAATAGAAGATGCCTTTTTATTTTATTGTTCCCAAATCACTGCTGCGACAAGGTATTCTTGTTTCCTTATATAGACCAAAAACAAAAGCTTATTAATAGATCCATAATTTATTGTTTCCCGATAAGGGTTACTGGCTTAAACAGGAACCATTTTATTAATTTTGGTAAGTCTACTAAATACTACACTACACACCCAATAAGGGAGACAAGGCTACCACCATAACAGTCTTCCCTACACAAATACAAATTCTCCCGAATGGGAGGCAATCATTTCACCGACAATTAATTACGTAAAAGAATGATTTCGAAATAATGTTGCAACAACCCAGCAGACAGTCCAGCCTTTTCGTTTCAAGCGTGTTTCTAATAGCTAAATCACATGAACTATCGTATTTTTCGTTTTAACGTCCGTTTAATGTAATAGTAAGTCGCAAAGAAGGGGGGATTTTTTCTAGTTTAGTAAATCAATTTAAAACGCGTCATTTGTAATTGGCTTAAATAATGATACAGTACATGACTGGTCGGGCAGTCGATCGAGTTTACCATAAGATTGTCCCATGAACAGTAGGTATATTTGATAAAGTATGTTCATTATAGTAACGATTTAGACACTTTTTCGGGATTTGCCACATTAGAGATAATATCTAGCACAAACATATTATGTAAAAAAGTATACGACGATTTTCAAACGAGTCGTAACATTCATACATCATTGACAATGAACTAGTTTATTCCTTGTGTGTGCAGTCAATTAAATTTAATGAACATACGAAAACTGCATCTTGGAAAATAATTAGTGGAGAGAACGTTCAATAACTATTGTTGATAAACCTATTTTACAGGAAAAGGTGAAGTATGACAAGCAATATCAAACAAACAATCGACATTTTTTTTTGTCGATTATACTTAGCTAGGTCTATTTCGTATTGGAATTGATTAGCATACTTGAATCAAGAACTCAAATTATCGCAAGCATAAGCGTTTTATGTCAAACGACAGTTCAACAAGTACCCAGTCCGCGGTCAGCAACAAAATTGAAGAGGAAGACTTCTACGAGACGACCATAAGACAAACAGGCTGCTCTCGAGAAAACGAAGAATTGCAGCTCTGTTTTGCAGACAAACGGGATTGGAGATTATGTCGAGAAGAATTGGAGAAATTCAGAGAATGCTGGAAAAAGCATAAAAATGACGTTCGCGTTGAACAAAAGTCTGTCGCTTGAACGGGTAAAATGCGATGAGGCTGTTCAATAGATTTTACATATGTTTATTAATGTAAAAGTGATCCAGACAGCCAGTTATTTGATCAGGACTGTGATTCGAAATATTATCCAAAATACTTAGAAATTCTTTAATATCCTCTCTTTAAATGCCTGCAAAAAATTAATAACTTCCAATTTCTACATTCTCGAATTTATAACACGCCAATATAATTACTTGACACAAATACACTTACAGATAAATATTCAATCAAACACAGAAAAATTCAAGTGACTATTCTACCTCCTCCAGTATTGGGCCCATTTGTGGATAGTCTCAATGACTTGAGGGAATAAAGCGCTGACAGAATCATTAATTAATGCTTGGAAGTACTTTATCGCTTCCTCTTCGCTAAGGTCCAATCGGAACTTCTCTTGTACCTGCAACAATCACCTCATTAGTAACTCGTATTTATATATATTTGTACAATACCACAGAAACGTATTTAATCACCTTCATGACAGCTTTATCAGGTTCAATTTTAATATCGGGTATATTGGCATCAACCATGAGGGCAAACAGATTGAGGATAAGATTAGCATTCTTACGCAGTATGCTAAACGCAGTGTAGCAGTAGCTTTTAAACTTTTGATATTGTGGAGAATTTGCTCCACCCATAGCCTCCACCATTTCCCTACAAAGTTTCATCGGTGGAGGAAATGGTTTGGGATCGCGTCCAAGGATAAAACCAAAATCTACGTGGAACAGATTTCCTGCAAAAATATATATATATAAGAACGACATAAATGGCAACAAAGTTCAAGGCATTGTTAGAAGCATATGACAAACCATCAGGAGATAACAAGAGGTTATCCAAATGACGATCTCCAACTCCCAGAAGATAAGTAATCACACAGTACCCGGCTACGAAAGATGAGATATTATCAGTTATAAAGTCAAGAATCCCCGTTTCCTCATCACATTTCGTGACAGCAAACCACGTACCACAACTCTTAACATAAGTATCCATTACAGCCGGTGCTACTCCATATGTTCCCACAGCCTTCTCTTCAGGATGGTGAGCTCTTAAAAACATTAATAGACTTCCGTTGAAATCACTCAACACGTTGGCAAGCGATGACGACGGAATGAACTGTACTAGTCCATGATCAGAACCCGTTGCAAGAACTTTGTACGGTGTCAACTTTAAATCAAGATTTTCCTTGCGGAGGAGCTTATCCATTAAAGTGACGATTTGGATTACCAATTGATCTTGACGCAGGTCATCGCCAGTTTTGAAAATTACCTAGAAAAACATTGAGAAGATATAGAAAAGCAAAAAATAGGAAACTTGGGCCAAGTTAAGACCTGACTGAACTTACAGGATATTCACTCCCGTCAGCGCATGAAAATGTAAGTCTCAGTGGGAAGAGATTACTTTTAAACACGGTCGTCTTCTCTGCGGGATATGAGACGTTAGTAATTATAAGATCGACTGACAACTTATACCAAAGTGAACTCACAAACATAACAACCTGGTATAATTCCTGTCACTGTAACCCTTGCATCAAGTGGCAAGGGCAGTTGTGGAAACGATAAAAGCTCTTTCTTTAGATCCGATATGATACTTCTTAGTTTCTCGATCTAAAATGATACATTCTATTAATACATTACATCTTACAAACTATGTCTCCTTTTTATAAACCAACCTTTTTAGCTCTTGTATCTCTCATAAGTCTTATGTCTTTTGATATTGATGAGAGGGTATCAATGAGTAAACCTTGCCTGCGTAGAACATCTCTACGTTGGGATCCTGCTGGTGTCTAATTGTAGACATGGGTTGAGCTGATAGTTGACAGATATATAATGTAATAACCAAATGCACTTTATTACCTCTATCATCGCTGTCATATAATTATAAGCAACCTTTGCGTACATTTTCCCAACCGTTTTATCTTCGTACTCGACCATGAGATACCTTAATGCAAACAATAGTTAAAAGAGTAAAGCCAAGGAACCAGTTATTAACCAGATAGTTACCAGTGAAGGTTATTTCCAAGTATAGGATTCTTTATTGCTCGCTCGATTAAGAATTCAGCCAAACTTGATTCATGTGATTTGTCGCTTATGTTTTCGAACTTTAGGGCTTGCACCAATTGTAATAAATACAGTAGTAGTTCCTGAACCCAATACAGTCAAATATTAGTAAAACACAAGTCGCCATGTATTTAATATTGAAATTTTACCTACATCGTCATCAGCTTTCCTTAATTGATTGACAGCATATTTCCTGACTTCTCTGTTTTCAAAGTTAGCGCCAAGAAGCTCTAGGGCATCATCAATGTCAATATCGGCCCATTTTGGAAGCAGCTCAACTGCTTGTTTTGCTTCTGTAGAATCTGACCAGACGACGCACTTGAGAAACTTGGTAAGAGCCTAGAAAAATACATAAATTTTAAAACTTGAAGATCCATAATAATAGCAAATTTGATTCTGCTTTGACAATTAACTAACCTTTTTGTCACGTGTAAGATAGAATCTATATTTCCACAGTCTGTCCTTTTCTTCTGATGTGAGCTGTTGCGTTGGAGGATATTTAAGAATTTTCTACAAAAGTTTGTAATAGATGGGTTATAATGCTGAAGTGAATCTCACTAAAACAGGTCTTATAATTTGAGCTTCTCAGCATTACATTCAAAGCATCCCTAATATTTGCGTCTGGTTTTAAATCTCTATCCAATGGACCACTTCTATGATTTCTTCCCAGTCTAGTATGTTTGGCTTCCACAGGATTTTCTCTCATTATCTCCGGATCGATAACTAGTATCGTATTGAAATTCGTGGGTGCGGTCGTTTGCGCATTTGCTGGTTGGGTGGATGACACTGTTGGTTGTGTTAGGAGAGTATATTCCTATCATACATGATGAATTAACTGAGTAAGGGTCTATAGCTGCTGTAAAAAATGGTGTCCCAAAAATTTGACTTACATGTTCGCTGAATATTAATGGAAAATCAAATTTGGGAAGATCTATATATAGATAAAGTTCTTTTGATTTTGAAGATTCATTCTGGAGATTGATAAATACAAAGCTGTCAATCAGAGTCATTCAACAAAAGCATGATGTTCATGAATAAATAACATTTCCGAATATACCTTGTGTATTTTTTCTATTTGTCTAAATGCCAAGTTATCAAGCCAATCAAGCTGTGTCATATCTCCGCGTTCAAAGCGTTTTACCAACTGCAACATAAATCGGTCAGTACACATGTCTTTGCTCACGAATCATATGGCGGTTATTTTCCAGCATGCTCACTTTCTCTAATCTGTCCATTTCGTCTTTATCGCCAACTTTACTGGGTGTGGTAGTATGCAGCTGGCCATCCGCTTCTCTATCTGGCCATAGATATAGTTTGTGCTTTCCTTTACGCAGCGTGCTAAGATCAATGAGAAAAGTCAACTGATACATGTGAATCCCGTGGCGTACACAGTTAACACAGCCTGTTCAGTTTTAACCACTTTTTATCTCATCCTTCACTTTACTTACTTGGTTTTACCAAATAGTCTAAAAGTAGTCCCTCCAACAGGAGCCACTTTTCTTGGATTTTGAATATCCCATACCGTTATTGCCAACTGTGCGGTAACGGGTAGATCACGATATTTTATAGGTATTGTGAGCCGTTCGTTCCAACTTTGTTTGTTTTAGAGATTATTTCGTCTTAGGATATATAAACAGGCCGAGTAAAAATAAGTAAAGGGGAGATATCAGACAGATAGTACCTCCAATGATTCTTGAAAGGCTTGTAACTCGTTCGCACTGGTACAGTCAATGGTTTGTTATCAGCGTAGAGTTGACAGCTTACGAACAAATCGGAATAGTCACTGGTCGAGTTCAAAAGATATGTAGGTCAGTCTACGGAAGATAATAAAAAGCCAGGTAGACGAGAAATACTTACCTGGTCTGCAAGCCTGTAAATTTAAGTGTGGGATCTTCAAGCAGAGCAGTAAGTTGCTTCTTCCTGCGCATACCCTCAAGAGACGAACTAAGAACATACATATTAATGATTATAAATGAATGCATTCGACAATAGCTGATCTTTAGAATACTTTACATTCGTACTGTTAATGGCAAATCAAGATCTTTCGTAAGGCAAAACGAATAAGAGTCTTCTTGGGGAGTTATAGTCCCGTAGTCCATGTTTACGCGAATAATTGAGTCGTGCTGCAGCAAAACTAGACGAAGTGAGCATTTTTACATACGATGGCTGATGTGGCTATTTTGAGGCTGGTGTGGCGTTAACTTGAAAATTGCTTAAAATAAACCTTTTACTTTGGACTACGCGACAATTAAAAAGTCTAGTCGAATACCACCGATGTGATTGAATACGATCACTTGTTGCAGCACGTCTCAATTAAAAGACAACCAGCTTTTAACGTTCATGACTAACGCGTTCCCAATTGTAAAAATCGGGCATAGGAACCCAAGCCATGAATATAATACTGAAGACAAAGTCGTTTAAAGACTTTATTTTAAAACGTCTACATTTTTTTAACTACTTGCTACAGTGTCCGCCACGGCTTTTGAAATAATAACTCTTTGAATCTGGGATGTTCCTTCGTATATCTGGAATATCTTCGAATCGCGGTATAGCTTCTCCACAGGGTACTCTATTATAACGGTTGAATAAGTTTAATGTTGGAACCAAACCCTCTCACATCGGTGTAAACGAAATTATTGTGCTGCTCTCACCAGTATTGAAGCCATTTCCACCGAATATTTGGACAGCCATATTAGCGGAATTGACCGCAACATCCGATGCAAGCTATAAACGATAATTATATTCAGTCGAGTGTCCGACAAGTATCATATCAATATATTGGTGACAAAATGACTTACAGCCTTGGCAATAGATGCGTAATACGTATTTCGCTGATTCTGGTCTCGCACCCAAGCAGCCTAGAATATAGCGATTCATCAAAAATTCAATATTTACATTCATTCTCATCAAAACTAACAGTGACATAGTATCGTTCCTACCTTCCACACCATGCCTCGTGCAGCCTCAACGCCTATTGCCATATCCGCTATCATGGTCGCCACAGCTCCATGTTCGAAACTTGACCGAAGCAATTAAATAACTTCATCAAACAGGGAAAACCCACCACGTAAAGAATATTCTACTATTTTAAAACTCACATTGGTTTACCAAAAGTCTTCCTCTCCAAGGAATACTTAGTTGCCTCTTCCAATGCGCGTCGAGCCAGTCCAACGGCTGCTGATGCAACAAGAGGACGAGTGATGTCGAACGCTTTCATCGCGATTTTAAAACCAAGACCCGGAGCACCAAGGCTTGATTTATAGTTAGTAAAGGCAACAAATAAACTCTCTGATAACGCCTCTTTCCCATCTCCATGTCCCTTTCAGTCTGCACACGGTTTTTCAAACTTGACTACAAATCTCACTTTCCTCTCCTTTCGTCAATAATTTCTCCTCAAATACTCACACGTTCTCATCAGGCACTACGACATCCTCAAAAGTAATTCCTCTGGTATCACTCGCCCTCTGTCCCAGGTTAATCTCTTTTCTTCCGGGAGTGATTCCGGGAGTATCGGCGTCAACAATGAACCCGGTAAAGGCTGCTCCAGTCTTGGCTGTCGGATTGGTTTTTGCGAGTACAAAATACCAATTGGCCTTTCCCCCGTTCGTTATCCACATCTTACTACCGTTAATGACCCAGTGATCTCCCTTCTTCTCTGCTCTAGTTTTGACCCCCGAGACATCACTGCCTGCCCCAGGTTCAGTCACGCAATAAGCGGCCATAAGCGGCTCTTCGGTCATTCGTCCGAGATATTTCTTTTGCTGCGCTTCATTTCCAGCAACGATTAATGGTGCTTCGGCAAGACCATTAGCTTCGATTGCAGTCTGGATACCAGTGCATCCCCATGCTAATTCTTCACTCACAAGAGACGTGTCGAATACCCCCAGTCCCAGGCCACCAAATTGTTGCGGAATGTGGGTGTTGACTAAACCAAGTTCCCAAGCTTTCTTAATAATCTCAGTTGGATACTCGCCTGTCACATCGTGATGAGCTGCTTTAGGAATTATCTCTTCCCGAGCAAAATTGTGTGCGAGTTCCTGGATCTGACATTGCTCTTCTGTCAACGCAAAGCTAGGACCGACAGTGGATGGGGTAGCACTAGCGAACGTGCGCAGAGGGAATGATAATGACCGGGTGAATGTGTGCGTCAATCTAGCTAAATGAAGCATTTTTTTTTTGCCGTGTGATTCTAATAAGTTAAAAAATGTTACAGAGGGTCGAAGAGAAAATAATCTCTGGATATTTTTGAAAACTCGGTTACACCAATTCATAATAATCCAAAACAACTTTGATCGGCCTAGCCCAAATTACAATCCCTATAGTCACGATAGGTATTTACAACTCTTTTCGTATTAGAATGATTTGCAATATGATAATCGGATTTGTCAGATCAATTTCCATAATGAAAAACCAGAGGACGCATGACGAGGGATCCTTGCAACGTGTCTTTTTCTTTTTCGAAGCAATAAACATTGGCTTACAAGATATAGTACAGTAATGGCTGATACTGTCTTTCATTACTAAAGGAATATTACAAGGTCCGTTGGAGATGACGCATCTCATACATATGATCATGTTTAGGATTTTGATTGTTGCTAATTATAATGATAAACTAGATAGAGAGAATGTTGAGAATTGCGTAGAGTTTCCCTGTGAAGAATAGATACTAATTAGACGATGGTGGATAGTAGTAATTATATTGATATCGGGTTACGTTGTTCTCAGTCTCCATTATTGAAACGAAGAGCAAAGTTTACGATGACGGCCGCTACATGTACACGAGTGTAGGAATGCACAAATACGATGCGTTAGTTACATGGATTATATAATTATATCATGGACATTAAAAGCTTCATGATTCGATCATACTAACCCAGAAGAAAGCCACATAACACAGTTGGTCCTATGCGATCATCGTACGGACCAGATTCCCTGGTGCGTATTTTCGTTGCTCTCCAGTGAAATAAGAATAAAGCGTATACCATGATAGACATAGCTTTGGGAGATAATAATATCGTGATGAGATAAGTACCAAGTAACTAGGAATTTGTTTTTCTTTACGGGTTTTGGAAATAGAACGTACCGACAAAAGTGAACAAAGCAGCCGATATTCTCCCTATTCTGTCGCCAAAGTTGAGCAACCCTATAGCAAGACCACCGAGAACGACTGTAAACTGTAACCAGGAAAGGAAGGTCCTTTCATTTGCAAAAAAGACCTATGATATGATGTCGATATTCAATCAGTATGCGACTCGCAAAGATGTGCTTAGTGTTGCAATATAAAGATAATACCTTGGGCTCTACTCGGGCAGGTAAATCTATCCGCTTTGGATGCGAGTTTTGAAGAAGCGGTTGAGTCGACATTGTTAGGTCAAACAATTTATTTTCGCAAGTTTGCAAACTCTACATTTATTCCCGATGATTGTATATGTGGCAACATTTCCACGTGATTAGGGCTGGGCATTTCAGCCCATAGTCGATAATTCAGGACACGTTTTTCCGACACTTTTGTCACGCTAGTCCAAATGCCGGATTTGTGTTGGTTACGACTGGTGATGATTTGATGGCGGCCGCTCTGCATGCAGAACTGCCATAAAAGTTTCGGAAAAAAGTGTCTGAATTAATGACAACAATGTCCATCATTGGTTGGGAATTAGCTTCGGATAACGACGAGATCATAGATCATCTGTTGTACAGAATTGTAGATCGGGGGAAATCAATCAACTAACTCTAAAGGATAATCAGCAAGAACGAGTCAGATTTCATTGTGCTACAAACATAGAGTTGTTAGCATTGCACAGTTGTCAAAATTATCATTATGGATATCGAGTCGCCTCTACTGTGGAACCAATTAGGCAATTGATTTAAGTGGATAACTTAATATTAGATCGAGTTTGGCCGTGATGGTGAGTACACATTGTGCACTACCTGGACAAACGCCACTCAGTCTTATCTATTGTACAAAATAATATTGGTTTAACGGTTAAGTTTTTTGTAAATGATTTATAACGCTTATAAGCACATATATAACAAGTGTTAACCCTGTTTTATAACACCACCTGAATATCCAATTTAATTACTTGGCTTTTAAAGAACCAGTGTCATCTAAATTCATGGTAATATTATCTAGAATATCCTCAGACACAAAGCAGTCGTAATTGAGGTAACTGTTGAGTAGGTTTGCGAAATTTATTAATAGTAATTGACCATCCACACGCTCTACAAGGAAGCATTTGGCTAATAAGTTTGTAAAATTAAAGTATAATTAATTACATTTAAAGAGAAAGAAAATACCTAGAATTGTTGTAAAATATGCGTATTCCACCTAATAATTTTTGTCAAAAAGTATAACAAAAATTTTTAATTTGGATCGAATAGCGTCGCGTAAAATCCATAATGAACATAAACGCTCGTACGGTAATTGACCTGTTTTTATATATTGCTTATGCATCACAAGTAAATTGTATCTGATATCGGAGAACGAACAACAGTGTCAAATTTTTATTACAATTTTGGTACCAGGGAGCGCGTAATGCCGGAGAGTTTGTAATTACAATATACAATTTAAAAATTGCCCTGACAATAAATTTGACATAATCTTTAACTTCTCAAATGGTTTATCGAAAGAAGCCGAAATGGTATTGCATTCACAATAACAGAAAATGCTGTATATACGATAACAAAAAGTCTCGGGCACAAAATTTCATTGCTTTGCTCTGCAATAAATTATTTCCAAATGGCAGCTTTTCTCATTTGAAAACATCTGTCAATACGTTTCCCGGAACTAGCGCTACGAAACACATTCAGTGGACTCCATTAGCATAATTTGTCTCAAAATAGAAATTATGGACATTGCCGTCAAGTGATGAATTTTTCGTAGCGTAAGATGTGGTCTATTAGCAATCATGCATCACAATTTTTCTGTGTTCGGCTACAGCAAACTCGCGCTATGTAATAGCTGTCGATTCATAGATAGCATCGCGAATTGTCTTACTGATCGATCAACTTTGAAAAAACTTTCTCTCATACGATACAACATGCCATTGATACAAAAACTCTTCTGGATGTAGTGTTACATACTACTAATGCAATCTAATAGTGGTCGAGTTAAGTAAGCTTTTTCACTGAGTTTCACTATTGACTTTATGTTATGACAACTGCGTTCCTCAGCATTTACTATGTGCCTCCAACAAGTCGTAATAGTAGAGATTATGTGGATCTTCAAAGTTGTGAACAGATCATGCTTCAACGTATCCTCAAATAACTAAATAAAAATAGGGAAAACTTTCGGAATAAAGTAAGCGAAGCAGCTTTACACAAAGATAAAAAACTGAATAGTTAATTACTTTTTCTGGATTATATTTACCAAATAACGATATTTTTGCATTAACAACATTCCCCCATTATATTCTTTCAATAAATCTTTTACTCGCAACAGCTGTAAGACAACCTTCATGGCCCAAACCGTGTTTAAAATTTTAAAGTTGTAATGCGGTCAGTACAAAAGTCGATATATGATGACGGCACAACACTTTTGACATTGCTTTGAAAATGTCACATAAAATTTAAGGCTGGACTATTGGCAGATTACGAATGGTCTCGCGCTGTATATTTGACAGATTGTTAAGTGTTTGCATTAAAATTTCCCGGAAAACAGTTTAATTTATATTGCACAACACATACGCGTTTGAAACCTACGATCGTCTAAAGTATAAATGCAATTGCCAATAATTATCGTAATTAAGTTACATGAATTGAATTTTAGCGTTAACAGTCGCTTTATTTGTTTTGTAATCAGTCATACTCGAAGTCTTAAAATAAAGTTATAAGTAAAAATATTAATATGTCAATTGAACAATTATATTAGGTTCGCACATAACCTTAAATCCAACAAACTGTTAACTTGGCAGCTCGTATGTTACTACACAAAAGGATTAATATTCTGCAAACGCTCAAAATAAGGCGCAAGAATTTAATTTACTATTTCTATCAGTATTGTCAAATAGACAATATAATAAATCAGCCGTGAGAAGGTAAATCGTTTCAATATTTAGCGAGAGGCGTGAGTGAATAATTGAGAAATGTATTATTAATAATAATCGACACACGGGTTGAAAAGAGAGAAAAAGAGCATGGAATCATGCATTGCATTGCTTACTAAGATTTTGATTGCCTTCTTGTGAATGGAATCTGGAATAATCTCAGATCAACGTTCTAACCCAAATTTGGTATGTTTCCCCGGCCTATAACCGTAATATAAAAGAAAATTTTTGAACGCCAAATTTCATAATTATTAAGCATGTCAACTTTCATTCGGAACTCGAGGCTTTTATCAACGGCCATTAAAAACAAAAAGGCATTGGAATTGCATACATTTCATCTTTCTTCACGAATTGCGTGTTTCAATCAGCAAGCAGCTAAGCCAGTTTTTCAATTTTAGTATGTAAACGGGTTCACGGAAGCCGTAGGGAACACTCCTTTGGTAATTTTCAAAGATAAATGGACGATTTGAACAGCTTTTTCTGCAATCTGTTGATTTTAGAACCAGCTTTATGCAAATGACTCGATTTCTTCACAATCCGTAGATACGCCTGCCTACGTTGAGCAAGCAGACTGGCTGTGATATCTTTGCAAAAGCCGAATTCATGAACCCCGGTGGTTCCGTAAAAGACAGAGCTGCGTTATATGTAGTGAAGGACGCTGAAGAGTGTGGTTTACTCAAACCGGGCGGTACAGTCGTCGAAGGCACAGCTGGTAAATCGTAAGACTGTGAAATTGGTGTTATTTACGCGACGTTCTTATGTCTGTAACGTCTTGTAACAGGTAATACCGGAATCGGACTCGCGCACGTCTGTCGATCAAAAGGGTATAAATGCGTGATATACATGCCGAACACGCAAAGTCAAGAAAAAATCGACTTGCTTCGAATGTTAGGTAGAAATGATTCATTGGAAAACTCTTTTGCTTTTGCTACTTGTCCCAAGCTCGGCAATTTTCATTCATGACGTCATTCTTCATTTCCTAAAGGTGCTGAAGTCTATCCGGTTCCTGCAGTCCCATTTGAAGATCCGGCAAATTATAACCACCAAGCCAAACGACATGCAGAAAAACTGTCGAACGCTGTATGGACCAATCAGTTTGATAACACAAGCAATCGTCGTGCGCATTATGAAACGACTGGACCCGAGATATGGGATCAGACAGACGGCACTGTTGACGGTTTTACGTGTGCTACTGGTACTGCGGGAACGTTAGCCGGAGTTACTAAATTTTTGAAAGAGAAAAATCCCAATATTAAATGTTTTCTGGCCGATCCGCCTGGAAGCGTGTTATACCATTATGTAAAAAGTGGAGGTGCCTTGTTGGAGAGAAGCGGAACCAGTATTACGGAGGGAATAGGGCAAGGAAGAGTAACGGACAATTTGAAGGAAGATATCGGTTCGATGGATGATGCCATGCAAATACCGGATGAAAAAAGCATTGAAATGGTATATCGTTTGTTAGATGAAGAAGGATTGTATGTGGGTGCGTCTACTGCATTGAACGTCGTTGCTGCCGCGGAGATGGCTAAGATTCTTGGCCCGGGTAAGTTTGGAGGATAGCTTTTGTTTCATGGTAAATTAGATTGTTTGTTTATAAAGGCCAGGATCATAAATTAACGTCTCGATGCTTGTAGGGAAGAAAATTGTAACTATTCTTTGCGATGGAGCTTATAGATATCAGTCGAGATTATTCAGTAAGTATATTATTCATTGAACGTGCTCTGACGATCTAATGGATACTCATATTTCATATTATCAATAATAGGTCGCCAGTGGCTAGAAAGCAAGAATCTTTTGAATGCTATTCCTGACCATTTACAGAAATATATAGTATTACCATGACGTGTACATCAGACATTTGTTGGGACTTTGACCAGCCAAAGTGATGAAAAAAAGCATGATGTGTTATTCTTACTGTCCTTAATTGTTTAAATTTCGCACATAATCATTGCTTTGATAACTTTGAGAATTTCACTATTTAGAATAAATTATTTAAAAAGGCAATAGTCCGTCCGAAAGTACGGCACTGTGGGTTCATCATTTTATAATCTCAGTTTGGTGATTAATTTGTGAGTTCAGAAATGAGCATAAGATGAGTTGGGTTACGGGTGCTTTTTTTTTCCAGCAGATGTCTATCGAAATTTTCTCCGATTGAAACTAAACAGATCAAGTATATGTCGTGAGTGATCCCAGCATTTTATGTAAACCCGACAATATTCGCGCTAAGCGAATAAAAGAAATGGGATAATTTAGAGTCCCATTTTATCAACGTTTGTGAGTAATCCCGCCATAAACAATTTTATCACATTCGTAACCCGCCGTCAATTACGAGCGTCTGACAAGTAACAAAGTCGGCTAAGCTAAGGTACAAAGCCGCACTAGCAATATCCTAAAATATGCCACGTTTGTTTAGTCCTCGATCATTCGCATACAGACTTTTAGCGTAGAAATATTCATACCTTGGGTTTTCCAAATC